TACACATGGTCCCTGGGTTTGCTTTTATGCCAATTGCCGAGAATCTTCATGGCTCTACTGGCAATTGCTTGAGAGCTCACATTCCTACCAGATGTGAGAAGATGTTCCATCTTCCTGTGTCCAGACAGCACCACCAAAGTGCAGGGCTGGGGCAAGCCTGGATGGGTAGGGCGTGGTCAAATGACTGCTCACAAGTGGATGGTTTGGATTATGCAACGTGGCCACACTGGCATCTCAGCAAAGGGCAGAGGGGTTGAGGCCCAGATGATACCAGGTGAAAAGACAAGACAGGTTTGCAGCACATGCTGCGATGGAGATGCTGGGGCCTCCTAGTCTGGGGCAGGCTGAGCCTTCCTGGGTGTGGGTGGGCCTCCGCCATGTAGGGTGCTGTCCTTCCAAGCTTTGGCAAGATGGAATCTTTGTCGGGTGTGGATGTGGCCTTGAAAAGGCACGCTCTTGCCTAGAGGCCACTGCTTGACCCCCTGTTGCCCTTTATCAGAAGTATGGGTAGCTGGGTGTGGTGGCTAGTGCCTGTAATGTCAACACTGGGAGGCCAAGGCGGGAATCCCTTGCTTGAGGCCAGGATTTCAAGACCAGCCTAGGCAACATAAGGAGACCCTATCTCTATAGAGAAATTTTTAAAAATTAGCCATGTGGGCCAGGCATGGTGGCTCATGCCTGTAATCCCAGCACTTTGGGAGGCCGAGACGGGCGGATTACGAGGTCAGGAGATCGAGACCATCCTGGTTAACACGGTGAAACCCCATCTACTAAAAATACAAAAAAATGAACCAGGCGTGGTGGCGGGCGCCTGTAGTCCCACCTACTCGGGAGGCTGAGGCAGGAGAATGGTGTGAACCCAGGAGGCAGAGCTTGCAGTGAGCCGAGATTGCACCACTGCACTCCAGAATGGGCGACAGAGCGAGACTCCATCTCAAAAAAAAAAAAAAAAAAAAAAAAAAAAAATTAGCCGGGTAGAGGTTTGCTTACGGGACCGGTGGGAGGTTGATTTGGCGGGCGTAGTGCCTTGAGTCAGCTGCTTGGGGCTGAGGCGGGAGATCTCGCTTGGGACGAGGCGGGGCTGCAGTGAGCCGTGCTTTGCTGCACTCTGGCCTGGGCAACAGAGCAAGACCACTCTTAAAGCAAATTCCTGACATAGCCCTGGGATTCTAGTCTCGTGCCTTGAACCATGAACTACCTTTAAGGCTTTTGCTTTGGGGTGAGGCATAGAAGGAGGCCAGGGGTTGGGGCTGTTGAACCCATGAGGTAGACCTGAAGCCTCATTCATTTTCTGAGTCTAGCAAATCCTGAAGTCCACATCCCAGATGTTTCCTGATAAGTCAATACATTCCTGATGATAGGATAATGTTGATTTTCCTGCCACATGCAGTCAGTTCCACCCCAACAATTCAGTTGATCTGCACAGCCACCGTGGGGCAGAGATGACCACCCCCATTTTACAGATGGCGGGAGGCTCAGGGAGGCCATGTGCCTCAGAGGACTGGCCTGCACAAAAACCAGTGGTTGACCCGAAAAAAAAAAAAAAAAAAAAAAAAAAAAAAATTAGCCATGTGTGGTGACATGCGTCTGCAAGTCCCAGCTACTTAAGAGGCTGAGGCAGGAGGATCACTGGAACCCAGGAGGCAGAGGCTGCAGTGAGCCATGCTTGCACCACTGCACTCTAGCCTGGGCAACAGAGCAAGACCCACTCTTAAAAACAAATTCCCTGGCCATAGCCCCTGGGATTCTAGTCTCCGTACAACCAGAACCCCATGAGCCACACTTTAAGGCTTTTACTTTGGGGGTGGGGGGCATAGAAGGGAGGCCAGGGGTTTGGGGCTGTTGAACCCATGAGGGTAGACCTGAAGCCTCATTCATTTTCTGAGTCTAGCAAATCCTGAAGTCCACATCCCAGATGTTTCACAGAAGTAAGTCAATACATTCCTGATAGGATAATGTTGATTTTCCTGCCACATGCAGTCAGTTCCACCCCAACAATTCAGTTGATCTGCACAGCCACCGTGGGGCAGAGATGACCACCCCCATTTTACAGATATGGCCGGGAGGCTCAGGGAGGCCATGTGCCTCAGAGGACTGGCCTGCACAAAAACCAGTGGTTGACCCGAACTCGAACCTGTCTACATTCGTCCCCTCACTGCATGTGCCCCTCTTGATGGGAGAGCAGGCACCTGCCAGCCCCATGCTGGTCTGCCCAAGGAATGGCTCCTGAAACCACCAGCTGGCCAGTGAGCCACGTGGAAGGGTTTGGTCATGCCTACCCTCATCCTGCCCTTCCTCCCTGGTCATTGCACTATGGTAGTGGGGGAGGGTGAGCTCTGCTTTGCCCCTTGTCACCGTGGCTGTGGGGATCCTGTCCAGATGGGACTAGGGGCTCTCTTACTGTCTGTGCATCACGAGTGAGGGCCACTTTCAGTTTGCTTCTACCTGGGACGCTCTGGGTGCCATGCTAGAAAGGTAGCTTATGGCCACAAAGGCAAGTCCAGGGACAGGTACTCATGCCCAAATGAAGCCCCATGCTTAGGAATGGGGTGAGTGGGAAGCAGTAACTTCCCTTGGAGGTGGAAAATGGGGAGGTCTCAGTTTCCAGAAAGCCCTGGGGCAGCAGCTGCCTGGGTGAGGTTTTCCCTGAGCCCGAGTCTTCCCTCTCGTCTACTTCACGGGGTCCAGCCTCTCCTCCAGAAGGGCTGCCAGGACGAGATGGGAAGGGATTTGCTTTGGAAGGCCGGGAATAGGTCCTGCAGCTGCTCTGGCCTTCCCCCTGGACTGATGTGGGTCCCAATGGTACTGAAGGGCACTTTCAGGTCCCGTTAGTGCAGGGGCCATTGCAGCAAAGGGCTGACTTTAGGAACCATCACCTCCCTCTTTGTTTTTGTTTTTGAGGTGGAGTCTCGCTGCTACGCCCAGGTTGGAGTGCAGTGACGTGATCTCGGCTCACTGCAACCTCTGCCTCCCGGGTTCAAGTGATTCTCATGCCTCAGCCTCCTGAGCAGCTGGGATTACAGGCTCCTGCCACCACACCCGGCTAATTTTTTTTTTTTTTTTTTTTTTTTTTTTGAGATGGAGTTTCGCCTTTGTTGCCCAGGTTGGAGTGCAATGGCGCAATCTCAGCTCTCCGCAACCTCTGCCTCCCAGGTTCAAGTGATTCTCCTGCCTCAGCCTCCTAAGTAGCTGGGATGATAGGCATGTGCCACCATGCCTGGTTAATTTTGTATTTTTAGTAGAGACAGGGTTTCACCATGTTGGCTGGGCTGGTCTTGAACTCCTGACCTCAAGTCATCTGCCCGTATTGGCCTCCCAAAATGTTGGGATTACAGGCCACTCCACCTGTCACCTCCCTTTTGAAAAATTGACTGCCCTTGGAGCCAGTCCCACTGCTATGAAACAGTTGGGGACGTCACATCACTGCTCCCAGCCTCAGTTTACACATCATGAACTAGGATTTGTAATCCAGGTTCAACAGGCTTGTGAGAATTTAGATGAGTGAAGTGCCTGGCATGCTTTCATAAGCAACTTTTTCACATACCATTCGGTTTGCCCATCTAAACAGTATGGCTCTTGGCCAGGTGTGGTGGCTCACGCCTGTAATCCCAACACTTTGGGAGGCCAAGGTGGGCGGATCGTTTGAGGTCAGGAATTTGAGACCAGCCTGGCCAATATGGTGAAACCCTGTCTCTACTAAGAATACGAAAATTAGCTGGACGTGGTGGCGTGCACCTGTAATCCCAGCTACTTGGGAGACTGAGGCAGGAGAATTGCCTGAACCCGGGAGGCGGCAGTTGTAATGAGTAGAGATTGTGCCATTGCACTCCAGCCTGGGTGACAGAGCGAGACTCTGATTCAAAAAAAATAAAGGGTATGGTTCAGGGGTCTAGTATATTCACAGGTATGGGCAGTCATCGCCACAGTTGAACATCTTGCCCACCCCAAAAAGAGAGCTTGTGTCCTTTAGTCACTCCCTGTCTCCGGTCTACTGCCTCAGCCCTGGGCAGCCACTGAGCCACTTTCTCTGGGTTTGATCTGGCACTTCTAAAGTAGAAGTTATTATTGGCAAAGGCACTGGCTCTTATTTCTAAGAGATCATTTAGAATGCCAGGGGCAGCAGAGGATGGGTCTGCCTCGAAGAGAGAAGTCTGATTTACATTTCAAAAGGATCTTTCCTGGCATTTTAGGCCACTTGGCATTAAAAAGAGATTTGTGGGGCATTGTCTGGAAGGGGACTTTTGCCACTGTGAGCTGGTGACAAGCTGACTAGAAGTGGGGGTGTCAAAGGCTGGGATCACCACCTTAGTGGGGGCACATGAGGGAATAGTGAATTTGGGGTCTGCTCTTCCCCCATCTGTCTTGGTGACTCTTCCCCTCCATCAGGAAAATGAAGTGCTGAGCCATCTCTATGGTCTCAGCCTTCGGTTTTGCTCTGGTCAGGGAGTTTCAGAGAGCTGGAGTGTCCCAGGCCCCTTGGGAATTGGAAGCAAGTGCTAGAACTTTCTGGAACACAGAGAGTGGTCTGTTGGGCCTTCCTTTGCTTCCTCAGTTTCCACCCTCTTCCTTCACTCCTTTCTAGGACTTTCCTTCCTCCACCCCTGAATCCTCCAATGTTAATGGAGCAGGGGTCAGGAAACAGCCTGTGGGTCAGATCTGGTTCGCTGCCTGGTTTTGTACGTACCAGGAGCTAGGAATGTGTTTTAAAAATCAAAAGAATGGCCAGGTGCGGTGGCTCACACCTATAATCCCAGCACTTTGGGAAGCTGAGGTGGGCAGATCATGAGGTCAGGAGATCGAGACCATCCTGGCTAACACGGTGAAACCCCGTCTCTACTAAAAATACAAAAATTAGCTGGACGTGGTGGCGGGCGCCTGTAGTCCCAGCTACTCAGGAGGCTGAGGCAGGAGAATGGCGTGAACCTGGGAGGTGGAGCTTGCAGTGAGCTGAGACTGCGCCACTGCACTCCAGCCTGGGTGACAGAGCGAGACTCTGTCTCTAAAAAAAAAAAAAAAAAGAAAAAGAAAAAAAAATCAAAAGAACATTTCGTGTTGCATGAAGATTCTATGAAATTCAAATTTCAAAGCCCATAAATAGCTTCGTTGGGGCGCAGCCACACTTGTTTGTTTACGTATGGTCTGTGGCTGCCTTCACCATGGATAAGAGACTAGAATAGCTGCTGCGGTCTGTATTTTCTATCTCTGTCTTTACAGAAAATGCTTGATGAGCTCTAAGTAAGGCCTGACCTTGTTCCTGAGGGTTCCATAGTGGAGCTGATGGGAAAGTAGTGGATGGCATTGGTGGTGGCTGAGCGAGCGGGGTGCCCTCTCAGAGAGCCGGTTCTTAATGGAGTGCTAACCAGTCACTCTAGATGAGAAATACTCAGATCACATTTAAACACAAGGAAAGCTGTTTACAGGAAAATGGTAAAATAGCACAACGTAAAATGATGGTACACTGTGGTTACGCTGTCATAAAAATGTATGCGTGTGGATAGAGAAGAAGGTGTCCCACGTGGAGAAATGAAAAGGTATCTTAGGGGGCGGGTTGGGAGTAAGAGCAGTTTTTCTTTCTATTCTATTTTTCTGTTTAAATTTTCCTGTGATGTTCTTATAATAAGTGATGATGATCACTCGCAGCCACCAGGGGAAGCAGCCACCCAGGCAGAAGGCCGTTCCGGGTCTCAGGCGGGCTTTAGGGAGAGGGACCCTGAGCTCTGGACCAGGGTTAGGAGGAGGTGCCCCGGGCATGTGGAGGCTGGCGGCCCTCGCTCCTGTGAGCCGGCGGCTGGGGCTGCGTCTCGCCCATGTTGCTGTCATGTGCAGGGCCCATGTGAGTTGCGTGTCTGCTCACTATGTGCTGTAGCCTCTGGAAGTTGCTCAGGAGCTTGGGATTTCGTGGAGAGGTGGGAGTCAGTTGCTTCTGTCCAAAGGGTTCGGCCAATGGGGGCCATTCTGAGTTCAGAAACCTCTGGTGTGGAACCCAATGGATCCAGCCAGGCCCAGCTCTGCTGTTAACCAGTTGTGTGCTCTGGGACTCGGGTTAAGTCTGCGGGTGGCAAAACTGGCACCTCCCATCCCATCTTCCCTCCATCCCTCCCCCCCAGCCCTGTGTCTCACTCTGAGCTTCAGGAAGTTGGTGCCACCTAGCTACGCTCACTGACACGCATCTCGTGCTGTGCTAGGATGCTGTCCTGTCCCCATGTTAGTGTGCCCTCTCCAGGGAGACTACCAGTGCTTGTGGGCGTGCATCTTCTGCTTCTGCATCCTCGGTCACTGTCAGCAGAGGCCTGGGCACATGGTGGTGGACAGTAGCTATTATCTGTGGTTGTGCTGGAATGGAGGAGGCCTGGTATTTGGTCTTGGAGTCAAGAGTGCGTAGGCTTAAGAATTCCAGGATCACACGGAGGAGGGTGTGATTAGGTCTGGGAAGGGGGGAGGCAGGAAGGAGGGCGAGAGACCTCGACCTGTTCTTGGGAAGGAAAGAGCAGGTGAGGGTGGGATTCTGTTCCAAGCACGGGAAACAGCACCAGGAGGTGGTCATGGCCCTGGGGCCAGGGCTGGGAGGCGGTTGCTCCAGCATGCAGTGACTGAGCCCTCCTGTATGCACTGCCGCAGGTGCTGGGAGACCGTGAAGTGCGAAGCAGATGGAGTCCAGGCCCTCGGGGAGACAGCACGCCAGTGGGGGAGACGGAGACCAATCACCCACCCAGTGTGCAGTAAGTTAGACAGTGACAAGCTCTGAAGACAAGGAAAGCAGGAAGGAAGGGACGGGCTGTCTCCTGTGCTCTTTCATGTGGGGAGACGAGAGGAACCAGAGGATGTGGGGATCGACCACGTGGTTAGGGGAGGAAAGTGTGTTTCAGGCGGAGGGTGAGCAAGCGCAAAGGCCCTGTGGCAGGCACGTCTGTGACTGGTCAGAGCAGAGTGAGGGGTGGGAGATGGAACCGGGTCAGTGGGGTGGGGTGTGTACATGGCAGGTCTGCAGACCCAGGTAAAGAGTCTGGATTTCATTTTTAAGGGGATGAGAAGCTCGGGAAGGTCTGACCAGCCTTACATCTTGAAAGGGAAACCCCTGCTCCTGCATGTCAGCTGTTACTCGGGGTGCGCCAGTGGAAGCGAGAGGCAGTCGCAGCTTTCAGGTGAGAAATGATGGCAACTCTCACGGTGGGGGAAGAGGGGCCGCTGTGGAGGTGGTTTGGGGGGCCTGTCACCTGCTGTTCCCCAGGTCAGTGAACAGTGCCCCCACGTACCCCTGCCAGCTCAGAAATCCAGGCACTGCCAGCCTCTGCTGTTCTATGTGTGGCCAGGCGGGGGAGCCTTTGCCCTCCCATGTCCCTCGTCCCACGGCCCAGACAGCACGGTCCTGTGATCCCCCTCCCATTCCAGTCCTCAGCACAGCCATATCCCTCCAGGGCTCAGGCCCCCACCATGGCCAGACCCCCCACCCCACCTTCACCCTCCCCCAGTCCATTGCACACATAGCATCTGGAATGGTCTTGGGCAGCACCTCAGACGATGTGGCTGTGTTGCATAAACCTCTCCCCTCACCGCAGCTCTCGGCCCTGCCTGAGTCCAGGTGCCTGTAGGCTCCCCACTCACCTCTGCCTTGAACCTTCCTGAGTCTGAGCTTCCTTTTTTTTGTTTGTTTTGAGACAAGAGTCTTGTTCTGTCGCCCAGGCTGGAGTGCAGTGGGGTGATCTCGGCTCACTGCAAGCTCCACCTCCCAGGTTCACGCCATTCTCCTGCTTCAGCCTCCCGTGTAGCTGGGACTACAGGTGCCCGCCACCACGCCTGGCTAATTTTTTGTATTTTTAGTAGAGACGGGGTTTCACCGTGTTAGCCAGGATGGTCTTGATCTCCTGACCTCGTGATCCACCCACCTCGGCCTCCCAAGGTGCTGGGATTACAGGCTTGAGCCACTGTGCCTGGCCCGAGCCTGAGCTGCTTAAACACCACATCGTCTAGCCTCCTGCCTTCACACATACTGTTCCCTGAGCCTAGACTTTGTCCCTGCCCACCCGCTCCTGATCCTTCAGGTCTCAACTTAGAGGTCACTTTCCCTAGGAACCTCCTCAGACCCAGTGATGCCAGATTAGGGGCCTCCTGGGAGCCCTCATGGCCCCAAGTGTTTACAACTTCTCTTTTTCATACTATCCAAAGTGTACAGAATCGTACACTTTTCTGATGCCTTGTTCCAGCTGTGAGTGCCCTGAGGGCAGGGATGGGGTCCGTGTCCCCCAGTGTGCTCAGCCAGCACCTGACCGGGCATTCTCAGTGTTGTTGAATGAATGAGCGAGTGAGTGACCTGCCCGCAGGGGAAGCTGTTGTGTCTGACACGGTAATAAGCAGGTAATAAGCAGGTTGCACTGGGGGAGGCTGGTTGCGATCATGACTGGAGCCCCTGGCCCCCAGAGTGGGGGTCATCAGTGGGGCTCGCTACCTCTGCCCACTGTTTTTTTTAATTTTAATTTTTTTTATTTGGGGTCTCACTCTGTCACCCAGGCTGGAGTGCAGTGGCGCAATCTCAGCTCACTGCAAGCTCCGCCTCCCGGGTTCACGCCATTCTCCTGCCTCAGCCTCCTGAGTAGCTGGGACTACAGGCACCCACCACCACGCCTGGCTAATTTTTTGTATTTTAGTAGAGACAGGGTTTCACCATATTAACCAGGATGGTCTCAATCTCCTGACCTCGTGATCCGCCCATCTCGGCCTCCTAAAGTGTTGGGATTACAGGTGTGAGCCACCACACCCGGCCTTTTTTTTTTTTTTTGAGACGAAGTCTCGCTCTGTCGCCAGGCGGTGCAGTGGTGCGATCTTGACTCACTGCAACCTCCGCCTCCTGGGTTCAAGCAATTCTCCTGCCTCAGCCTCTCGAGTAGCTGGGACTACAGGCATGCACCACCATGCTCAGCTAATTTTTCTATTTTTAGTAGAGACAGGATTTCACCATGTTGGCCAGGATGGTCTCGATCTCCTGACCTCGTGATCCGCCCACCTTGGCCTCCCAAAGTGCTGGGATTATAGGCCTGAGCCACCACTCCCGGCCTTTTTTTTTTTTTTTTTTGAGATGGAGTCTCACTCTGTCGCCAGGCGCCATCTTGACTCACTGCAACCTCCACCTCCTGGGTTCAAACAATTCTCTTGCCTCAGCCTCTCGAGTAGCTGGGACTACACGTGTGCACCACCATGCTCAGCTAATGTTTGTATTTTCAGTAGAAAAAGGGTTTCACCATATTGGCCAGGATGGTCTTGATCTCTTGACTTTGTGATCCGCCTGCCTCGGCCTTCCAAAGTGCTGGGATTACAGGCGTGAGTCATCGCGCTTGGCCCTTCTGCCCACTTTCTTCCCCTTCTTCCTCCTCCCCCGTCTCCACCCAGGCTGTCTCTGGAGTGACTGTGGATGCTGACAGAATGCGTGTCCGCTTTGCTGTCACTGTTCATGCAGAGTGCCTGTTGGGGATTCTCCTGTAACCCAAAGGAGTGGCGGAAGGATGGAGCTTCAGGCGTTGAGGGCCAGGAAATGAACACGGAAGACTGAATCCTTAGGGGACCCCAGCTCAGGGCCGGGTCTGGGGCTCTGTTCTGAGGACTGGGAGTGGGAGGAGGCGGCAGCAGGAGCCGGAGTCTGAGGCATCTCCTCACACTCTTCCAAGGTCAGAGACGAGGTCTCAGATCTGCTTGCTAATGCACGATTTATTTCTTTTTCAATTTCCTTTGGAACCTGTGCTGTGCAGATGTTCACATGATGTGGTGGGGAAGTGAGTTTTATAAAACTCTTGGCAGAGTACCATTTGGCATCCCTGTGGTTCTAGAGATTTCTGGGGCCTCAGGGCTGTAGCACCAGCTGCAGACAGCTGCCTGCCTTCTTACAGTGCTCAGCTTTTGGACCCAGCAGCTTTCTCAGTCCCGAACACATGTGTGACCTCACGATTCTGGCCCTTCCACGCCAACAGACTGTTCCGGCGTGTAGGTGGAGTTCCTATTTTTAATAGCCAAGTTGTTGAGAAATTGTAGGACTTCTACTTCCTTTTGAACGGAAGGGCTCCAGAAATATTTATATCTTTGCTTCTATAGAATCTAGGAGGTCGTCTTCACCCAGGGAGGGTCAGCATGTGGAGAGGGTCACCTGGGAGAGGCCCCAGTGTCAGCCTGCACTTGCTGTCAGTACATGGTACGACACTGAGCACCAAGGGGCTCAGCCAGCCCTTCGAGGGAAGTCCCAGCTGCCCACTGGGGGAAGGGCGGGAAGGCGTGAAAACAATGAGCCCACCGGCTGGCGGGGGTGACCGTGTTATGCAAAGTGTGCACCATGTAGCATGAGCACTGGGCCGGGAGCCCCCAAGGCTGCTGGGGAATCAGGGAGACACCAAAGAGGAAGTGGCCCTTCCCTTGAAGGGTGAAGGATTGGTAGGAGTCTGTGGGAGAGTGGAAGCTGTTGGAGGGGAGGGAGGGAGGGAAGGAGGACTGGAGAGAGGAGGGAGGCTCTTGCATTCTGGGCGGGTATGGGAGCTGCTGGCAGTTTGCAGAACCCAGTGGCTCAGTGTGGTTGGAGTTGGCTGTGGACCAGGTGGGTGGGCAGAAAGGGGCCAGGTATGGAGGGGTTTTTTAGTGCCATACTGAGGGGTCTGAAGTCCATCCCGAAAGTTGTAACTGGGGAGTGGCACGGTGGTGGGTTAGAGCCATGTCATTCAAACTTCCTCAAATTCCCGTACGTAGAGACCTAGTGTGCACACTCACAGCCCAGGCTTGTGAGCTGCAGTCGCCCTTGCCATGTGCAGCTCGTTCTGGCGTGTTCTGTTCTGCTTCTATTCCGGCTCATTTGTTCTTCGAACAATGCTGTTTGCAATCCTCTACGTTGGCTTCCTGTCTCCCTGAATATTTTTGATCTGCAGTTAGAACAGCACTGGATTGGCAAGAGGGAGACTGAGGCGGGAACCCAGGCAGAGGCTGCTGTGAGTCCAGCTAGGACAAGACGCGGGTGCCAGACAGTGGGCCTGGGGCAGACCCCAGGGACTTCGCAGTGAAGACCCCACCTCAGTGGTCCTGGGCCCCAGGCCTCAAGAGACTTGGGGCAGCTTCCGAAGCAACAAGAGGGGTCCTGTCATCGTGAGGCGTGTTGAGGATGCAGAAGCTGTGGTTTCATAACTCAGTCACTGTGTGGTGTCTGAAAGCCATTTCATTAAATGTCACATGGAATCAAAATAGAAATTACATCTCTGGGACAAAGCCCATTGAGTCAGGAGCCAGGGATTCTGAATTGGAACCAGAATAGCCTCCGAAGCTGGGTCTGTGGATCCAAGGCTGCCCCCACCGCCCTGGGTCTCGCTCACATCTGAACTCCCCAGAGGGGGCAGGTGGTCCCGGAGCCTAGCCTACCTGCCAGGAGTCAGAGGTGGCCTCAGGGGAACCATGACAGCCCTCCTTCTCACACTCATCCTGGGCACCCTGCACCAGCGGAAGGGTTTACACATACAATCACCCATCCCTAGCCCCTTCTGGGAGGGAAGCATATCTTAACGGATGGCGACCTTGAGGCTCAGGGAGGTTAAGGTGCCAGCCTGAGATCACACAGCCAGCGAGAGGCAGAGACAGGGCTCCAACTCCAAACGGTGGCTCCAGAGCCCCCTCTCTTTTCCATGCCCTGGGCTGCCTCTTTCCCCAGTGCACCTTGCTTTTTGGAACCAATGACCAACGTGGAGAGACATGAACTGATTCAATCAGAGTGTATGGGGAAGGGACTTAGAGATCTGGCATTTTTCAAGCTCCCTGGTAATTCTCACGTGCAGCTAGGGTGGGGCACCTCTGCTCTGGGGAATAGGGGAGGGGTATGAGTGGCCCTGTGTCTGCCCTCTGTCCCCACCTGCCACCTGCTGGTCCATCCATTCAGCCGTTGCATGGACAGGTTGTCTTCTGGGGGCTGCTAGCCCCCTTGCACTGGGCAATGCTGAGTGTCCTCTCTGCCCCTCCCCCCAGTGTGCGCTCCTCCCTCTGCCCCTGCCGCGCAGGTGGGCCATGCTTGGAGGGGCGCAGGAGAGCTGAGATGGGTTGGGGATGGATCAGGCCTTGAGGGGGTGCCTGGTAAGCCCCGGGAAGGGTAGGGAGAGGAGAGGGCAGTGCAAGGACAGCGACCCCCAGCCTT